CTCCCTTGATCTTTCTGCCCACATGACGCATGTCATCGTCACTCTTCTCTGCCTCACTAGCAGAGCCTGCAGCCGAAGATAAGCTGTCCGTTATCACTACCCTTGTTGGCCGACGCAGTTCTCCACCGGATCTTTGTATGCTGCGCGGGGCGGGCTCAGAGTCTGAGCCCTGGAGCATCTGAGGGTCTTCTTGCATGACAGACGACGTAGACGGCGTCGGCAAGTTTGGAGCAGGGGTTGACACACGCAACATAGCGGGACGGCGGGCTGACGTGGTTCCATGTAATGGCGGACTACTTGAATACGGCGGCGAGTTCGGAGGTATGGACCAAATATCGCGTCGCATATCACTGTCTTCAAAAATGCTTGTCGGTGCCGCTGCTGCTTGTGTGGATGAGAAATTAGGCTTCCTACGCTTGGCTGCATGAGGGTGACGGAGCTGTGTAGAAGGAGGACGTCTGGCGGGACCAGAAGTAGGCCGATGAACGAGATCCTTTCTTGGACGTGGCAGCACAGGTGTAGAGACGGGTATCTCGACCTCGGAAGGGCTGCTTGTAGGACTTTGATCGGGATTGAACTCCTGTTCTTGCGACTCATCGTTTGGCTGTCTGTGATGACCCTGAGGGGATCGTGAACGTTCTCTTCGCACCGGCTTGAGGCCTCTGCTCTGTACTTCTCTCCGATACATCTCACCCTCCAACGCATATGGGTGCATTTGGATGGGCTTCCGTTGTCGAAATTCGCGTCTTGCCCTATCATCGGCGATTTGTCTTTGTAGAGCCGTTGCGGATGGTATGACAACTTGAACTGCCGTACGTCGATGGGGCTCAGCGAAAGCAGGAGGGGGCGATTCCAGGTCCGAGGGCGGATCTGAGAGATCATCGTCGGAATCATCAGACAACGGCGCGATGCCGAACTCTCTGAGTATGCTTGAAGCATGTGTAGAGGTTTCAGGTTTCCCTGCGACTGTTGATTGTATCGGAGTAGTCGAGTTGTCGGAGAGGGGCACGAGATGGCCGTCATCGATTTGAGGTATGGACACTGCAGAGCTTGGCTGGAGGATCGGAGATGCCAGGCGCTGTGACGACGGAGGTTGTACAGCCTGTCGGTTTCTAGGCGTAGGTGAGCCTAGTAGCGGATCAGGGCTCTCGGTGGGCTCTCTTCTTGTACTGCGGGTCGATTTGGGCGTGAAGGGAGATGGCGTAGGGCGTCTCGGCGAGCTGTGTTTGGTAGGCGTGGCGATGCCCGTCTCTTGCTTCTCTGTCCCATTGATGCCTTCGGTAGCATGCTTTTCCTCTCCCTCCTCTCGATCAACCCCCTGCACCTCTTCCGTGGGCGCCTCATGCTGTCGGACCGGCACGAGGTCATCTTCGACGCGTTCGACGCGTCCACTCCGGCCAACACTCTGCCTGGAACCCTGACTCTCAAGCTGAGACTCGTCTTCTTCCTCATCCGAGTCCTGGACAAAACCTTTCTGTCGCCATTTGGACATTTGGACGCGCCTGCATGTCGTTCCGCGGTTGGATGCTGGCGGGGTGAGGTTTTGGGTGATGGCTGAAGGCATGGCGCGTCGTCCCGTGCTCCGCTTAGCGCGTACTGGCGACGGCGGCGGGCTCAACTTTTTGCCCGCGGGAGTGCTTTCGTCATACACGCCAAACTCAGCCGCCGTCACTTTAAGCAACAAACACACAGAATGGCGGGACGAATTCTTCCAGTCGCGCTGGCGACTATTGTTGGTGTGTCAATTGGGGTAGCTACTTTTGATGGAGAGTTCAAGAAACAGCGAATCGCACGGATGGAGGAGGAGTACAAACGGTATGCAGACTCCACAGGTACTTTCGTCGCTTTCACTAACATTCGTGTCAGGGAACTCGCCGCTGCAAATGCTTCCAGCACCCCGAATCCCATCCCCGTAGCATCGAGTGCTGTGGCATCCCCACCTTCCGCACAACTGCAGGCTCAGAAAGAGGAAGCTGTCGCCTCCGCGCCTGCCGACAACTCGTGGGCAAACGTGCTTGGGCTCTGGGCATGGAAGAAGGACAACAAGACGGAAGCCGCGCCTGCGACTGCAACAAGTAGTGTGGAGAAGCCCAAAAGTAAGCCTTGAATGCTACCATAATGGATTTCATAGGTTCAGCCTGCGCTCGAGATCGTCCCATCGTCCCCGCCGCAGCGGGTCCAGACGCTTTAGCTCGTCTAGCCACGACCTCATATCCTTCGTTGTAAACGACCCGGTCCCAGCATCTACCTCCAGATATGCCTCTGCAAGCCCGAGCAGCGCTTCGTATATCCACTTGCAATCCGCCTCGTCCTCCAATATTTCCCTGATGTACTCCATCTCATGCTCGTAGTACTTTTGTCGCTCGCCATTGGTCAGGTCCTGGACGATAAGCGCATCCGGTAGACATGACGGAGACAATATTGAGAGGAGGTATTGGTGATAGAACCATATGGACTGGTCGAAGGGGTCGGTGTTTATGGCTTCGCATATCAGGGCTAGTTCCGAGTCGAGAAATACGCGACGCGCGCCAGCGTCTGCGTTGCGCTCGCGGAGGATCTTAGGAATAAGCTGGCTACGGTTGTGCCAAGCGGAGAAGTTGGAGAGATTGGTCTTGATCATCTTGGTTGTATACTCGAATTCGGATTCGGAGAGGCTTTTCTCTGGTGTCCCTGATGAGGGAACGTCTTCGGACGCGGTCAGACGCTCAATCTGCGACACCACGAATCGTCTGTAGCCCCAAGCATGGAAGTTGCGACTGTCTGCGTGCAGCATCTTGTTTATGAGTTGTAATTCTCCCGACCAGAGCTTACGTGCTGCATCCGCGCCCATCAGCGCTTCGCCCTCGCGCAACAGCCAGTTTCTGTGGTTCCATATCCAATAGCACTTGGGAAACTTTCGTAATAGCGCAAATGTGAGCTGCAGGTCGCCCTGTAAGAGTTCGTCTGGTGACTGTTCGGGGGTGTCTGCGGTCACCAGAGCCATCAAAACGCGTCTTCGGTGATTCCATATTGTGTAGTATTCGGGGTTCTCGTTCAAGAGTTTCGTGACTAGGCCCAGGACTTCGATCGTATATTGCTTCTCGGCAACCTGAAGAGCGACTGTCAGCTAGATTCAATGGGTGCTTCTCCTGGCAGCAATACCTTTGTGTTCACCAGATCCGCCAAATCTTTGTAGTCTGTGATCTGTTGCAGCTCCTTCTGCCGCGCTTCTTCTGAACGGACGACTGGGCCAGACCCGCGCGATATACCGTGCTACACTTGTCAGCAAGGATCTTCCGAACGATTGTAAAGTCAACTTACGCTTGCCATATGTTTCTGCGCTGTCTCGGAGGCTTCAGCGTTGCTTCCTCGAGTTGCAGCCTCGGCGGAATGTTGCCCCACTACACGCGTGGAGCCCCTGCCCCTCCGTCATCCCTCGCGGAAGGTTGCCGTAACCACTAGCCGCATCTGCCAGCCCTATATATGCTCCAAACATCCTAAGCAACCTTTAGCAGCCATTGCTATTACTAACCCAGCAGCAATAACACCGGGACATCAGGCAGCACCCGGTCTCCGGCCTCCTAGCTCCTCTCCTTCAGACAGCTTCACATGCGCTGAAGCTCACAGCTCAGTCCTCCAGTCCACTCATCTTGACACAAGCTGTTCCAACATGAGCGACACTGGCGACGAAGCCTCTCCGTCTCAGTCCGGCTATCTTACACCGCCGCTGTCTCCTACGAAGACTGTCAGTACCGAAGGCTGGGCGTCACCTCGGACGCCTCAGTCTCCGCGCAAAAGTCGCAGCTGCGTATTCTTCAGGGATATCGACAGTGGCTCTACTAGTCATTGCCCAACTCCATTGTCTTCTCCTAGGAAGTTCAAGTCCAAATTTCTCGCTCGTCTCGAAGCGCTGTCAACTCCAGACCTGAGTCCGACTAATCACGTATCTGTGCCGGTACCTTGCGACCTCATCCCGCTTCGAGATGGATCCTCTTCCAGCAAGCGACGACGCAGCAATCGCAGTTCCTCGGACAGCATAGTTGAAAATGCAAGCCGCGCAGCATCTCCTTCACTCATTCCAACAGATACAGTCACTACGTTCGAAAGACCAAATCTACCGCACTTACACTGCATTGACATCTCTGCTGACGACAGTTCTCCGCCCACCAAGCTTCGCCGTCTTCCCTTGCGATATGCCAGCTCTCCTCTCAGATCCAGTCAATGGCAAGCACGAGGTGGCCTACTAGCATCACCTCGTCAAACCCAAACAAGTACGCCAGATCGTTTTATCGCTTGCCGCCGACCGCCCACTATTACACGAGAAAGCTTCGAGCTCAACAGCCCTGCGGAGCGTCGGAACAAGGAACAGAACATAAACCGTGGCACACGTACAGGTGCAGATGCTTTCAGCCGCCGACTGCGCAGGAGTGGCCGTATGAACGAGGAACTACGCGGCCTCAGGGAGGCACACTCTGTAGTTTCCGGCCGTGCAAATGCAAACAGAAGAAACGTCAACTTCAGACAAACCCCTCTACCTCTGGGTACTCGCCAGATCAGCGCTGGCGCTGTCTGGAATGTTGGTGGGCCTTCTGCTGTGAGTGACACAGTAGTAGCAGTCTCCACTGGCAGAGGTAGAATGCTTGGGAGTGGAACGAACGCGCCATTGTACAAATCTGCTTTTCTGAACCGAGCAGACCCCGATGCCGAACTTGAAGCCTACGAGAGACGTCTCGCACTGGCGCTCGACATTGACCCGACTGATCGCATCCTCCAACACTCGTCTTCTCCAGCGTCGTCGAGCTCACCTCATAGTGGCCCTGCATCGCAGGCAAAACATGTCTGGCGAGACGGAGCTTGGATTAGGGACGGAGTCGTTTCGAGTTTGTTTCCATCTACTACGGACTCCAAATGCTATGTTGCTGCTAATCTGAGGTTGAAGGTCCCCGTCAAACACCACCAAAGCGAAGACCAGTGCCAATCTTACCCTTTCGATATGTTATTCTGCTTACCATTGCTTCTCAATGCTGACCTCGCTCACAGTTCTGGATGCCCCTAATCTCCGCGACGACTACTACTGTACCCTACTCGCATATTCCTACACCTCCAAGTGTCTGGCTGTCGGCCTAGGAAATTTTGTTCATCTCTGGTCAGAGAGAAACGGTGTCAACACGCCAGACTCGCTGAACGCCGTGCCGCCGAACGGTCCCGCAGATGTTCAACACGTCACCTCCTTAGACTTTTCCTCTACAGCAGGGGGTCAAGCGATCCTTGCCGTGGGACGAGCCGATGGCCGCATCTTGCTATGGAGCCCACTGGATGCTGAGCCACGATTTGATGCAACACAACCCAAGCCTGTGTCATGTGTATCCTGGAGACCGACTGTTGTGCAACGCCCTTCTCTCCGAGATAGAGCAATGACTGTATCAACGGAGGAGTTGCTCATCGGAGACGAAGTCGGTCACATCTACTTTTACAGTGTGGAATGGCCGTCAGAGACGCACAGTGAACTTTTCGGTTGGACTGGCGCCATGACCCTGCTGGCTCGACTTTCAATCCACAGTCAACAGATCTGTGGCCTAGCATGGTCATCCGACGGTGAGCTCTTCGCGAGTGGAGGAAACGACAATAACTGCAATCTTTTCGAAACGAAGAAAGTGCTTCGATCGAACCCAGCAAGCGAAAATACAGCAGCCATCTTGGACGTCCGCGAAGGCCCACGTGGCGAATCCATCTACACCGTAACCAACCGTAGCAACAACGCCGTCCTACACCTCGCGCAATCAGCGGCAAAACACACATGGACACTCAATGCCGCCGTCAAAGCCATGGCCTTCTGCCCTTGGCAGCGCGGACTCTTAGCCGTCGGCGGCGGCTCGAACGACCGCTGCATCCACTTCTACCACACCCGCTCCGGCACCTGTCTTGCCACTATCGACTGCGCAGCTCAAATCACCAGCCTCATCTGGTCCCAGACGCGCCGCGAGATCGCGGCAACTTTCGGCTTCGCACAACCCGAACACCCCTACCGTGTCGCCGTCTTCGCCTGGCCCAGCTGCGAACAAGTCGTTGCTGTCCCGTGGTACGACGAGAATCGCGCGTTATGTGCAGTCGCTTACCCAGGTGGTCCCACGAGCGGTCCGCAGACAGACGACGATCGTGATGGTGGGAGGGCGAGGGGTGAAGACGGGGTGTGGTCGCGGAGAGGTGTTGAGGAAGGTTGCATTGTTGTGGCCGCGAGTGATATGGCGATTCGGTTCCACGAGATATGGAGTGATCGAAGGGGTAGTATGGGCGCAGGCGGCTTGCTGGGTGGTGGCTCGATGGGCTTGTTAGGCGGGAGTGATATCCTTGAGGGGCCTTATGCTGGCGGTATTGAAAGGCAGGGCACGATTATCAGGTAGGTAAGGTAAGGTAAGGTAAGTCTTCAGGGAATGGATGGGGATATAGGTTGAGATGAGCAGACTTATTCCTAGTCTGGGAATCAAAAGTTTTGGTTCTGAATTACAATCGAGGTCTGCTCCAGTCTGTTACTATTGACCAGTCTTCGCAAATTGCACAAGCTGCAACCTGTACTCTTCTTTTCATTCCGTCATCTCGAATTCCACGACCTCGGCTTACGGTATAAAGCTTTCATGCGCGTTGCCTTCATTTTCGCCGTCTTAACAGGGTAAACGCTAATCTTCGGTCCTACATCTCTAGGTGCCCTCTTCCCCGGCTCTCTCTCCGCCAAAGCATCAAATGCCGGGTCCCTACTAAACATCGAAGTGTCACCCTTTTCGCGGTTGCTCAGGATTTCGTCCAAGGCGTCTCTCCTTATCCTTCTGTCCTCCCCCTCTTCTTCTTCTTGGCTCCTCTCCCATCCCTCCATGTCATTTCCCATCATCTCTCTCTCCTTCTTCTCCATCCTCTCCTTCTTTTTTTGGGCATTCCTCTTCCATATCTCCATGTCTTCTCTAAACGCCCTTTTCTGCTCTTCGTCTTTTTTTCTCCTCATCCATTCCTCCATGTCTTCTTTCACCGATCTCTCCGTCTTCTGCTGGTCACCGTCCTCACCTCCCTCTTCCTCTTCTTGGCTCCTCATCCATTCCTCCATGTCATCTCTCACCGATCTCCCCGTCTTCTGTTGTTCACCGCCATCAGCTTGGAGCGCCATATTCCCTTCCACTCTCTTCCCCATATGTTCATCCATATCATCGGTGTCCGTCCTCTCCGTCCTCTCCGTTCTCCCCCAACTCTCCACCCTCTTTCTTGCCTGCTCCGTAACGCGGGCGGAGATTGACCTTTCCACATGCTCCCATCTCAACTTCCCGCCCGCTGTAACCTTCTGTGCACGAGTTCTACTTTTCTGAACCATAGATTTCTTCGCCTTCTCGCTAGCCTTCTCGGCTGAACGCCTTTGGATCAGGGAGTTGATTTGGATGTCACGGTGTGCTCTGAGGACAGCTTCGAGAAGGTTGGAGTTTTGTTCCGTGGTGTCCATGATCTTTTCATCGTGCAGCAGTCCGGTGAGTTCGGAGTGTAGGCCTTGGATGGCGAGTGTGAGGGCATCTTCTTCTTTGGGTGTTTCCCGCAGGTCGCGACGCTTCCTGTGCGGGTCGGGGAGGGGTCTGTAAACTAGGATTGGGACCTCGGGCTCCTCTTTCTGCTCGTTTTCTTCAATCTGCTCTAGAGTCGGTTGTTGGCTTATGATTTGGTCCATGTCCGATTCTTGTTGCTTTGCACGTGCGACGTCTTCTTCGAAGAGGTGGGATGAATCTTTACCGCGGTTCTCCAGAACGAAAGCTAGCCCAAGAGAGTGTCGGCCGTTACTACCATAGGTGGTATTGGTTTCAGTAGTGTCTTCCCTCAGTTCCGTCTCCCCAAATTTGTCGGCCCAGAATACATTTCCTTCGAGCAGCCTCTTCGCGGTTCTGTATACCGTACCACTGGCGGGGATGAGCTTGTTCCTTGGATCCATTGTGGCGTTGACCTGCAGTCGACCACTTGCGTGACCTATGGTGATGGCGCCCTCCATCAAAGGCTCAGGAGCAAGCATCTGCTCGACAACTGTTCCGGGAATGCGCGCCGCGACGGCTGTCGTCAATGCAGCAGTCAAAGGAATGGCTCGATGAGGCTGTGTGTCTGAGAGAAAACGTACGACAATGTCCATCTGTGATGCCTTGAGAGTCTTCCCTGACAGGACGGGGTGCGCAGATGATTGTGATACGATGCCGATCTTGGGAACGGTACGAGGGACCTCATCCTCTGTAGATGCGATACCCATGACAACGGCAGCGGCTTTGCGAATGCTTTCAAGCAAAGCAAGCTTTTCCTGAAGATTGTTGAAGTCGTCGGGTAGGATAGTACCATCCACTCCGACATCGTCTGCTCGGACGAAGATCGCTGGGTTCGCGCCATCTATGCACGATACTCTGTAGCCCCCAATGTTGTCCACTCTCCTGCCAGTAGGTAGCACTCTGCCAGTTTTGCTGCCGTATGGACGTTTGAAATCCAATCTGATCTTTGAGCCTTTTCCGGTAACGCCGTCAATGCTGTAGTCACCCGCGACAGCAGCTTGCGCTCCAATGACTTCGAAGGTAGAGTCGAGCAGCTTTCCAGTGTTGGTGTTCCGTATCTTGACTGTGACTTCTCCGTCTCCCTGGGCGTATACCCTTGATGGGAGAAGACCGGCGTTATAAGCATAAGGGCCAATTGCACTGCTCATGTTTCCACAGTTGCCTGCGACGTCAACTTCATTGTCTTCAATGCCCAAGCCGACGAATGTGTAATCAATGTCCAACTTTGGCTCATCCCCGGCCAATCCCGCCTCTTCCAGAGCCTCTGCAGCCTGTATAGCCTGCGAACTTTTACGAGCTGCATCAATACCACCAAAGCCTGTTCGAAATCGAGTGGCTCTCTCGGGCAAAGCCACTCTCCTCCCGTAGGGTTCTACGAGACATATCTTACTCAGACTCGATATGCCCGCACCCATGCCGTCAAGTTGCCGCCCATAGGGATCACCACTCCCCATGATCTGGCGGAATATGGTCGGCCATCTTGCGCGCTCTTTAGGCAAGGCTTGCGGCTGTAGGATTACGCCTCGTGATGTTCCCCCACGGTAATAGGCCGCCTCGATAGGTTTCTGGACTGTCGCAGACGGCGGAACGACGTCATGTCGCGAGACAAAAGAGCGTATACGCAGAGAGAAGACTGGCGAAGGACGCATCACGCATCATGGCATTGACTTGTCGAGATGCATGCCAAAGGCGTATGCGATCGCCGGATGGCAAATTGTTCGGAAAGGATCCGCCTCGGAACGGAAAGAATTGGACCCTGATGGAAGCACAGGCATTCGTCACTCGCAGCTCCGAATTTTTCTCGAACGTCGGCATCATCATCGCATCCACCTGAGCTACACTATCGCCTTCGCATAAGCCTTGCATCCTCTGCTTCATTCCACATTCTATACCATACAATGCTGCAAAGAACCATCCTCCGCGCCTCAAGGCAGCAGGCTGCCCGCTCAATACGGCCTTTTGCGCCACTACGTCAACAATCACCTATCACACGAGCAGTCGCGACGCCCGCTATTCGGTGGTACTCAGATGCTGCACCAGCAAAGGAGGGCGAGGCTGCCGAGAAGAAGGAGGATGCGCCCGCAGAGAACAACGAGGCAACACAATTGAAGGAGCAGCTAGAGAAGAAGGACAAGGAAATCGTCGACTTGAAGGTAGGCTTCGATGCTACCTAAATGCATGACAACAGCAGACTGACATGCCTCCGCAGGATAAGTACCTCCGGTCAGTCGCCGACTTCCGCAACCTCCAAGAGCGCACCCAGCGCGAGATCAAGGCCGCTAAAGACTTCGCCATCCAGCGCTTCGCCCGCGACCTCGTAGAGTCCGTCGACAACCTCGACCGCGCCCTTGGCACCGTGCCAGAAGAGAAGCTCAAGGGGGATAACACCGACCTCATTGCTTTGCACGATGGCATCAAGATGACCGACACCATCCTCATCAACACGCTGAAGAAGCACGGCTTGGAGCGATTCGACCCCAGCGAGGCGGCCGAGAAGTTCGACCCCAACATCCACGAGGCTGTCTTCCAGGCGCCGCAGCCTGACAAGGAGGACGGAACTTGCTTCCACACACAGCAAAAGGGCTTCAAGCTCAACGGCCGGACACTGCGACCGGCCAAGGTTGGCGTTGTAAAGAACGCATAAATCCGACATCATTAGAAGCAATATGAGCTTCATTCTACGCGAACCAGGACCTCTGTCGCTGCCGCCACGATCTTCTTCGCATGTGTATGACTACTTCGGTTCGGCTCCATTGTAAGGTTGGCTGCTTTGATCTGGCACGGTACATTGGGGGCATGGCGTTTTCGTGTCAATTCACGAGGTACATTTGTGTACATTTATTCCCCTCTCAGACGCATCTTGGAAAAGTTGAAGCAAGCATGATGACGAAATGGCTTTGCGTATATTGTAATATTAGATATGACGAACCATGAGCAAAAGAGGGCAGCTCAAACAGCCAGCAGAGATATCAATGCCATTCGCATCAACTCATTTTCGAGAGCGATTCGCAGAATAACTTTGTTTTCGTGGTAGATGTCAATATGTGAAGAAGGACTGCGTTTTTTTTGAGCAGTCGTGCAGTCTGTTGACGCCCACACCTTTTAGAACGCCAGGCCCATGCAATGTTGTACACCCAAACACGCCACTCTCTTTGTCTACCAATTGGACTGCCCGTAAGGCGTAGCTCCATATGGCGTAGTTCCTCCTTGTGCTGCACCGCCCCACGAGCTCGCTCCTCCGTATCCGCCTCCCCCAACAGGTGTATATCCGCCCGCATCACCGTATCCAGCACCGTTCAGTGTTGGACTCTGCGCGCCGCCAAAATCCTCCGGGCCTCCAACGCCGCCAGATAATTCTTTGATGATCTCGGCGAGTTTGCGTTGCAGGATGGCGATGCCTTGTGTAACGATTTCATCAGGCTCGAGACCGCCGACTGTTTCGACGTCGTAGAAGAAGCGTGATGGGGCAGCGTCGAAGTTGAAGGGTTCGTCGGGGTTGGGAGGTCCACCGTCAAGATTTATGCGAGCTTCGTCTTTGGGCCTGGATATCTGTTAGATACGTGCTGCCGCGCAATGTTCGAGTGGTTAGAACCAAACATACCACTCCTTGTCCGCGTCCTCCTCGTGCCAGTAGTCCAAGTGATGCAGCTTATTCGCCGGATCGTACTCGAAGCCGATGGCTGCACTAGGCGCCCATTTCGCGTGTTCCTTTGCGATACCCTTCTTCGCGATGCACTTCATGTTGATTGCCTGACCTCTCCTCAACTTGACAATGCAACTACCCGTCTCTTCTGAATCAGTGATGACCGGCTTCCCCAACTCTTCGTTTGGTGCCCGAGACTCAATCACCAGATCCCGCGCGTACACCTTCATAATCTCGCTGCCTGTGCATTTCGCGTTGAGGGTGAGAACGACGGCGCAATTGTCGCAGTAGCCTTCGCAGTCGCAGTCGCGCGAGTACAGCAGCTCTTCTACGCCTTTGGAGCACAGAGGAATGAGGCCGAGACGGTGGCAGACGAACTCGTCGGCGAGGACGGATGTGTTGTCGAACACTTCTACGACGTCGATGGCTAGGGTGGGAATCTCGGCGAGCATCACACGGCGGAGCGAGTTTGCGGTTTCGAGATTGAAGTTCTGGACGATGAAGTTGGCGCGCTGGCTGTCGGCCTACGCATAGCTGGGTTAGCTCGACGTGTCCTGGGGCAGACGGAGCGGGCGGTGTACCTGGAGGAAGCGCACGTTGATTGCGCCGCCATCTGGGTCGTAGTCCATCGCGTCCTCGTTTCAGGGAGGAGAGGGCTGTGTGCTTGCGAGGCTCGTGATGGAGCCGAGGTACTAGGGCGACTGGATTCGGAGGCGGAGAGAGACGTGTTGGCGTGTGTGGGGTGTGCTGGCTAGGGTCGTCGTCCTGATGGAGATTCTTTGAGGTGAGTCTGGGAGCGAAGCAGCCTAGCGTCTAGGTGTGGCGCATGCATCTACGCCACACCTAGAGCCAGCCACACCTTTGACAGTGGCATCGTCATACGGGTCAGCAGCTGACGAGATTACGCCGAGTGCAGAATTGCATGCAGGGTCACATAGACCAAAATTAATGGTTGGATGACGTCTGAGTTCTATGCTTAAGAGTTACTAGGGAAACCGTAAACTTCGCAAAGGCGGAGTCGTCATAGCATCACCTGCAGCTACCGTCTCGTGCGTTGACTGTACACACCAAATAGGAGACATGTACAACGGTTGTGCGCATCAAGACTTGTGGATGCGCCCGGCGTACGCGGAGCTCGAGACAGTCACGAGACAAGCATGGCTTTTGATCAGCCTTGCAGTTGAACACATGAGACATTTTCCATGGGCCAAGCCTGACTTGAGCATCACAACAAAATCCAATCATGAAGGGTACTATTGGCCGACAAAGAACCTCAAGCGCAAAGCGCCTATGGCTGTGTTGCGAAATGAGCCGACCGAGTTGAACAGTTGTCCTTGCCGTATCGCATGCCTATGGCAGACGGACAATAAACGAGTCTGCCGCCGAGTGATGACCTATTACATGCCCAGTCGGACGAGATAAGGCCTTGATGGTATTGCATGCATGCTGTGTAGTCCTAACATGGATAAGCCGGACACTAACAGTGGACTCGGTGCTTGAATAGTCAGTAAAGGATGTTCTGTGGAACCAGCGAGACACTGGTAGATGTTTCTTTCGTGGACATGAGGCTGAGTGGCAAGCGACTATGCATCAGCGAGGCTGAGGCCCTCTCCTTTCTCTGCGTCTCGTGCTATCGTCAGTTGAATCCATCATTGACGCGTCCGCCGAGGTCCGGAGACCTCCAGCAGCACAGTGCGTTGGGGAGCAATAGGGCGGGGCAGTGCAATGGTGCCCAGGAAATGGCGCGAAAGAAGCAGAGACATGGGACATGGACGCGGGAAATGGCATGGCCGGAGTCTGGCCTTGGCGGATTGAGGCGGAGCAACCGTCGCTGCTTGCGTGCGGGCGCTGCAACGACCAACCGCTGAAGGCGAACTTTGATATAAGACACACGCTGTCGGTCTCTTGCCCTCCAACTCACCACAGCAACTCAACCAACAGATCACAGTATATCTTTGCGCAACATAAATGATCGCAAACATGCAGGCTACTCTACCTCCATCACCAATGCGCTCTCGCGCGTCATCGGGGAGCAAGTCGCCACTTTCTCTCGACCTTTCAGACCTCCCACCGCTCGTCGAGCCATCACCTCCTTCAAACACACTCATCATAACCGTGAGCATTCCTTTCTTTGAACATAGGAGCATCCACTAACAGCGTTTAGAATCTTCTCGCACCCGAGATCTTCTCACTATCCACCCTCACCGAGATTCGCGAAACTGTAGACAAATATGCGAAAGTACACACATGGGCGCCGCTCAAGTCTTTCCGTCGCATCGTAGTATCCTTCTTCGACGTCGACTCTGCGATCCAGGTCCGACAAGCCCTTGATGGCGAACAGCTCATGGGCTACCGCATCCGCGTGTACTTCGGCGTAAACACACCCATGAACCCCTCAGACCAGCACCTCGCCCTCCCAAAGTCCGACCGACTATTCTTCATCTCGCCGCCGCCCTCTCCACCCATGGGCTGGGAAATGAAGGAAGAGGATGCGCCAAACAAGATTGTACACCCAGAAGACCTTGCGGCAGCGCTGGCCCGGTTACATGCGAACCACGAGGCGACTTCGCCGACGACCGACCACGGCGGCCCTTCCATCACAAGAAGGCGAACTGGCAGCACCACTGTTGTCTACCACCCCGAAGACCACGGTGACTCGCCGAACCTTCCAGCCATATCCGTCGAAGACACTACAGAGACACCTGAGCCGTTGACACCCATCGATGCGATGGAGGGCGTCGAGGGCCCGATCGCATCGCAGAAGGCGCAGGGCATAGCCGTGAGCACATCAAGGCCGCCGGTCGAGCTCATGCACTAGACGGTTGTGCAGATTTCACCTCGTTTCTTTCCTTCTGTTTTCAAAAAGCATCATCTGCTCAAATGACATTGCGAGTGCATGGTTCCGGCGTTGGTGGTTCACCTCTTGGGATGACTCGATTTCGAGTTAGGAATGATAGCATGTGTATTAAGGACAGTGGGGATACCTTTGGTAGGACTCTGGTCGCAATGAGTCTAATGGGTATGGCATTGTATGATATCCCATCGAATAGCGCAAATACGTTAAACTACAACTTTACTTCGCCTGCTCCAGTCTGTTTCGTGAACATGAGTATGCAGTGTCAAACTGGATTGCGAAGCCAGGATACTGACAATGCAATGCAAGTGTTGATTAAGTACATGTCTTTGCCTCTTCGCTATGAACTGCTTGTGTACCCGCGCAGAGCAGCATGAGACATCGTACTGTAAATTCTAACCTCAGGACTTCTGACTATAAAAGCACGAAGATGTGAAAACGTCCACATCCGGTGGGGCGCATCATGTTGTTGGTCGCAGTTGCCCGCGAGCCGTACCTGAAAGTCGCGCTAGCACGTGATGATCTCCATTCCGATTAGCGCGCACTACGAAGCGAAGGCCCATTTCGATAATTCTAATTTCGCAGGCCACGACCCCGACAACACCACGACAATCTACTAACGTTGCAGCTTCCACACGCCGTCGAGACGCCGCAGTCAAGATGAAGCTCAACATCTCATACCCCAACAATGGCACCCAGAAGCTGATCGAGGTCGACGATGAGCGCAAGCTCCGCGTCTTCATGGAGCGCCGCATGGGTCAGGAAGTCCCCGCCGACAGCATCGGCGACGAGTTCAAGGGATACATCGTCAAGATCACCGGCGGTAACGACAAGCAAGGTTTCCCGATGAAGCAGGGTGTCATGCACCCAACCCGTGTCCGCCTCCTGCTCTCCGACGGCCACTCCTGCTACCGCCCTCGCCGCACTGGTGAGCGCAAGAGGAAGTCCGTCCGCGGATGCATCGTCGGCATGGACCTCTCCGTCCTTGCCCTCAGCATCGTCAAGAAGGGCGACGAGGACATTCCCGGCCTGACCGACATTGTCCACCCCAAGCGCCTCGGTCCCAAGCGCGCCACCAAGATCCGCCGCTTCTTCGGTCTCAGCAAGGAAGATGATGTGAGTTCTCTCATAGCTTCTTCGCCAATCCTGCTTCGCATAGCGGATTGAGTCTCGCTCATCCTGCTACAAGCAGCGCATTGAGTCTGAGCAACAAGAAGTGAGCTAGAAAGTTTGAAGGTTTGAGTACTAATCATTGCGTGTGTAGGTCCGCAAGTTCGTCATTCGCCGTGAAGTCGTCCCCAAGAAGGAGGGCGCAAAGCCCTACACCAAGGCCCCCAAGATCCAGCGTCTTGTTACTCCTCAGCGTCTCCAGCACAAGCGCCACAGGCTCGCACTCAAGCGCCGTCGCGCGGAGGCTTCCAAGGATGCTGCCGTACGTTTACACCATTCACTACAAGATGCACAGAGGCTAATGATACTGCAGAACGAGTACGCTCAGATCCTTTCCAAGCGCATCAACGACGCCAAGGCCGCACACGAGGAGGCCCGCAAGAGGAGGGCGTCTTCCATGAAGCACTAGAGCGTTATCATGAGTTCATGATTGGGTCGTGGAATGATTACATTGGCGTCGGCACGAAAATAACGGTGTGGGCTCCTGTATCTGAATGAAAACTTCGGGCATTCTAGGGAATAGGCGCTTCTCATACCACTGACTGCTTAAGGCAGTTGTCTCAATAAACAATTGCATCACTTCACGACCGCTCCACAATCTTCGTATCCGACATTTCCCTTGCTGATATATCTTATTACACTGCGCATCCTTCCGAACTTGTCTCACTGTCCATCTCGACCTTGCTGATCATAGCTTTTCCATCGTCATCGCTTCTTCCCATCGCGCCTACATCTTGCGATCACACAAGCTCATGTTCTGCCAGGCCCATGTTTGCCTCAGCATCGCCCACCGGGTATCCTGAACACCATGTTTCCATACTCTTGTTGTTTTCCGTACTCCCTCTTCATATGATCAGCGCCACTATCTGATTCCCACGGATTTTATCCTCGTTGTACATCATATTGTCACCGTTGGCACCTCACTCCCAATATCTAGCGCATGAGACTGGTCATCTGTATCCATTAAAGACGTCCAACTCCAGACAAACATTGAGTCCGGTGTCCGGCTCGCTTGCCAAACTTTGGCAAAGCAATCGCGATCCAACATGTATATATACTTAGCCTCTTTCACACGGCACTCCACCCTTCGCCAAAGCAATCTTCCCGATCTCAAGATACTGATGTCCAACCAATCGATGTACTCCGGCGTCAAGCCCAAAGAAGCTCGCATCTACATCATCGGTCCAAAACACTCGGGCATTGAAGAAATAGGCAAAGCCCTGCTTAGGTCAGACATAAAGTGCCTGAAGCGTACTACTGATGTCAAAGCTACCTGTCAACAGTTTCGAGCATCAGATGGCGAAGAAAGACTTAGCGCCCTCTGGAATGACACAGTATACAATGAAAAATTAGAGGACGGCAGGCTTCGGATTCCTGACGAAAATCTTGTTGTCATGGTTAAGAGCGATTTGAACAGCGCTATGGTAAGATGGGCGTTGAAGCATGGTGAGCCCAGCATAAATGATCAGAGGGATGACACTCGTGAGGAACAGACCAGTGGGTTCTTCCTCCAGAGCTTTACACGAAAGATACACAGCGCCGTGGAGAATCTGCAGCCAGAACAGGTCCAGAAACAGACGGCGAGGGCAAAGGCCTGTGCGACATATGTTGAAGAGCAAAAGGAAGCTGAGAGGGTTTTCGCGGACATGAAGATGCAACCCGACACCCGTTCGTTGGAAGTAAATGGAGATGAAAGAATGTTGGCTGTGAAGAAAATCTGTGAGGAATGGGTGGCAATGCAGCTTGGGAATGGGGGAGATGCTTGATATGACTTTGTTGGGGGAGAGATGGAAGATAGAAAGTGAGGTACTGAAGCAGATGGACTTCATCATCGTAATCTGTGTATCAATAATAGGAGTCTTACTATGTCTACAACGTTCTGTTATTTTCTGTGAAGCAGGCAGAGTGTTGCATCTTACTCGCATGCACCTTATACTGTCTGTATGTCTCACAAAGGCTGTGTTACTGATCCTTTCGCAACCTATGAATTTTTCAGACCCCCCAACGTCTATGCCACACACTTCTGGTCGATCTGGGTGAGCACAAGGCCTATAGTGGTTAGCTGACAGATGGAGCTGACGTATGGTCAAGTCGGGATTGGCGTTTCTAGATTGCTAGAAGGTATAACAGGTATCAACAGACATTGGTACTGGGATGTGTACTTCTTGATATTTTCTAAGGTATATGCACATCGGTCGTATGTATATGCAAGCCGACCGACGCATCCAAGCCTAGTCTATAATGTTGCGCCGCGCAATGCTGTCAGCGCCAAACGCCCGCCCGTGTGGTATCATTCGCCTTGTCGCATACCCAATATTGCACAAAGCAGATGCGCGTCTTTGCCATTCCCCATTTATCTATTCCAGCTTCTTCAATTGCCTGTAGACCTTCTTGTGTTGCTCCAAAAACAAGAACGTGAGCACGGTGTGCGGGCCAACGCGAATGAAGCTCGGCACCCAACCCTTGAACATCCAGCGGAACCCTTCTGCTCTCATAGTATCCGTGACGGTCTTCACTAGTCCTACACTCTCACTGGAGCTCATGACTTTGGTTTTGATGACATCCACCGGCGAGCATATCGTTGTAGCTACAAATCCAGCCAAAAATGATGCTGAGAAGTGTGTTGCGAGGTTATCTTGCAGCGGCGTGTAATTCAGCAGCACGCGCTTGAATCCGTCGTATGTTGCCAATTGTCCAACTGTCATGAGCACAGCTCTTGACGAGTTGGGCCAGACGCCTTTCCATAGACTTGCTACTCCTTCTTCCCGCGACATTCGTATTATCCCATCAATCGCGTTCTTGTATCCTCTCCGCTTTTCTTTCGGTAGTGCGGCATCGTGCTGCATCCGTACGTTCAAGATGTCTCCTGGGTTACCGGCGAATCCTCCGAGGAATCCTGATATGGAAGCCATGCCTACGAGCGTGAGGAACGAGGGTTTCGTGTCGGCGGTCGTCATGCGGTCTTTGAGGGCTTCGTAGACACCGAAGCGTGTCATGCTATATGTCCCTTGGCGGAGCTGGGCTGCGGAAATCTATCGTTGCATTAGACGGGTCCAATTGGAATTGAATAGATAAGACGACTTACGCCCTTGTACAGTCCCAATGCGCCATCAGTCTTTATAACATGCTTGAACATTTGCATCATGTTCAACTTAACGCCAGATATCGTTTGTGTTTGTAACCGGACCTGATTTTATGAGTATACACAAATTGGCGCACGCGACAGTCGATAAAGCTACCTTGACTACTCAAACTATCAGCCACTACCCAGTGTTGCGCACAAAGCGGTACAAAGCTTACCAAGATCCAGAGGATGTGTAAAGAAAGTCGCAAAACAACTTGCGCTTCCACCAAACCAGAACGGATAGCGTATTGGCGTCTTCTTGAGAGGCTTCACATCTTCGCTCTTCCGTAGCTCAGGCACGCTCACGGGCTTCTTGACGTCCGCCATGTTGAAGGTGAAAGTCCGCGCAGCAACAGCATGTGTAGCTGGCAGGGACAGGGAAGCTGTAGCCTTAAAAGTAAGGAAGCCCGTAAAGCTTCGGTGGTAGTTGAGGGACCGAGAATTCGGCACGCGCGGACGTCATCGGCAAAACGTGCTGCTTCCGGATTTAAGCTCGGAGCTGGCGGGCTGGGCTTGGCGGCCCGCGTGGTTTTGAGGTCGCGAAGGTAACGGCGAATTTCATCATCAAAGATGCGAATACCACTTTCTTCTGCGGCGCTTTGCCGTCAATTAGGTCGAAATGTCCTATTTCGAGTACCACGGAGCTCAGTGTCGCCCTGGTCGTGGCGGCAAGCGGTGAGATATAATTCTTCTGGTGAGTTTGCCGTCATGTGACGCGGCTCGCGGCTTTCCATATCGCAGCGACCGTACTACTCCGGCGTTGAGCGAGTCTCAGAAGATGCAGAGGAGGAATATTCCTCTATTCCACTATCGTCTTGATGGTGTTGAGCTGCAAATCCGCGTACTTGGGACGACGAAGAAGTTTCAGAGTGTGGTATCTAAGTTCTCATAGGAGCATTCCCGAAAGAAGTGCAGATAGAAGGACGAACGTATCAGACCGATGAATGGATGAACACACCCTCAACTATTCTCGACGCTATACCAAGACGCCTTCATCTGCAACCAGATCACCCTCTGACCATCACGCGAAAACTCATCGAATCACGCTTTCCGGGTTACAAGACCCATAACGCCCTTTTTCCTATTGTCACCACCGGTCAAAATTTCGATTCTCTCGGCTTTCCATTAGATCACATAGGTCGAAGCAGGACGGACACGTACTACATAAACAAGGAAACCGTACTACGAACACACACCTCGGCTCATCAAGCCGATACTTTCCGCAACAATGAGAGCGAGGGCTATCTCATCAGTGCTGACGTATACCGACGAGATGCCATCGACAGAAGCCACTATCCTGTTTTCCATCAGATGGAGGGAGCCAGGACTTGGGACCGTCAGCAAGCAGAAAAAGAAGGCAAGACACTTGCGCAGGTCATCTGGGATGATGTGGAGAAGATTCCCAAGCACGATGTTGCAGTCGAAGACCCAAACCCTCCATTCCACGCCGAGCGTAACCCACTTCAAACAGGACATTCGGCAGAAGAAGCAGAAGCCATGGCTGCACACCTGAAACGAAGTCTTGAGGATATGGTGGTCACGATCTTTAATGCTGCAAAGGGTGCTGCAGATACTGCCACGTCAGACGAGCCACTAAAGGTACGCTGGGTGGAGGCCTACTTCCCCTTCACATCACCCTCTTGGGAACTGGAAGTCTTTTGGCAAGGCGATTGGCTCGAAGTGCTCGGCTGCGGCATCGTGTCACAACCCATCCTGAACAATGCCTCGGTTCCCAATCGTATAGGGTGGGCTTTTGGCATAGGTCTCGAACGTATCGCCATGTTGCTTTACTCCATCCCGGACATACGTCTGTTTTGGTCAAGGGACTCTCGCTTCTTATCGCAGTTCAGCGAGCAGAAAGCCATCCGTCGATTCGAGCCTTTTAGCAAACACCCTGCATGTTTCAAGGACGTGAGTTTCTGGTTGAAAAGTAGCTCGAATGCCGCTGGTGGCGCCGCAGCTATTCATCCGCTTGCAGGAGGCAGTTCATCCACGACATCCCCCACCCCATCCTCTGCTCCTACAACCCCATCTGGCACGCCAATCCCACCAGCAGCCCCGGCGCCATCATCCTCCAGCTTCCACGAGAACGATGTGATGGAGATCGCGCGAGAGGTCTGCGGTGATCTTGTAGAGGATGTGCGCCTAACGGATGAATTCGTGCATCCAAAGACTGGGCGCAAGAGCATGTGCTACCGCCTCAACTACCGCAGCTTGGAACGCACACTCACGAACAAGGAGACTAATGAGCTGCATGAGCGGATGAAAGGCATGCTTGTGGAGAGGCTGGGCGTTGAACTAAGGTAGCGTTGGCTGGCCATGTAGCCAGATAGGACGGCGAAATCCGTACGAGTTCGCCATGTCCTATTCAGAAAAGGAGGAAAGGAGTATAGTCTGGTGGCGGTGGTGGCGGTAAAACGGTACGGGAGTCAAGCCGCCACGCAAAAAGAACACATAGGAGATGTCATGAAAATAGCATAGCCACGTGAAGAGACGGGATTCTGTGATCTCGATCGGAATGTGGGGAAAACCGTCAGAGTGACATTGAGGGTGTGATAAAGAACGGAACGGAGCGAACGGACGACTGCCGAATGCAGGTGTGGGTGTTTGTGTGTGTAAGAGAGGAAACTAATGTCGGCTATCGATCCCTTCAATCCTAACGGCGATGTCCACTGCATGATGTGGTTTCTGGGTGGCCAGACTGCCTGAGCATGCAGGACATCACACCCTCGAAACTCTAAACACGACGATATCTGCCGTACGGATTGCCTGACATGCAAAGTGGAGGAGTGGGCGGCGCTTGCATGCTTGCGTATCTCCTGGACGCCTCTTCGAAGCCGGCAACTCACGATGTACAATATGCTGTAACGATAGTCGTAGTTCTAAATCAAACGCAACTCTACCATACCACAGTCTCTATTATTACACACTCAAATCACTGGTACTCGGTACTTCTAGGTCCCAGACTCGGCACCTCCGTGCTGCACCTCCGTTTCTTGTCGACCGCAAGCCTCATGCACGGCACCCCGCAAAAATTCCGATTGAGGAAGGAGTAAAAGACAAGTTACACAAGGTACCGTGCAGAAAAATCCTGTTTCCACACGCGAGCAGTCTGAACGTCTTTGAGAACAGCACTAACGCCTGATGTTGACAATGCAGCAAGAAAAAAGTTGGCATCACGTCAGCAAAATGCGCGTCTCAGGTTCTGTAATTGTTGGTCGCCCTATATGCGGCTGTGTTATAGTTTGCAGTTGGTGGTGGCCAAGTTCACCGGCGTGTCCTGCAGGTCGCAAGCTGGTGGGGCAAATGACCCTGTTTTCCCTCAAACCAACACCAAATTTCGACGCGGGTATGCGCCGTTCAAACTTACACGCTCGAGACGCATGCGATAAGACGTGACTTGCAGTTCGCAGCGGCATCCCAAGTAGGCAAACCCAAAATCGTCACGGACCCTGCGCCTTGCTTGCTTACCTGGGAACGCGCTTGTTGTTAGGTTGGCTAAACTAGCCCATAGATCAAAGCACGACATTGCCTTTGGCGTCTAAGTTTGGCGCAGGTTTGGTGTAGGTTTAGCCTGGCTGGCGAGCGGCGGACCTCCTAAACTCCGACGAGGCTAGAAGAGACGTCGAAGGAGGCTTCTAGCTGCCGTTCTTCCAAGGGCTACCTGGAGGCACTTCCGTCGCAAAGAAAGATGGGTGTTGCGAATGTTGGCTAAAGCTTTGGAAGCTTTTTCGGGGTTTTGCGCAGGGGCTGATGTGGCGTGGGCGGAAGTGCTGGTGCGATTCTGCTGTTACTTTTGCGCCTCAGGCTTCCATGCGTCTTCGAGAAGCTCTCATTTTGGAAGCTTTGGACGGGTGAGGTCTGTTTGCTTGCTTTGTGGAACGTAAGCCTTCTGATGCTTTCTTTCTTCACATACTATTGTCCCCTCCTATACGTCTCATTCGTCGTATTGATGTCAAATTCGAGGAATTATGAAGTCTGTGTTGAGGCGGCTGGCTGATGTTCTCGAATTAAATGTTCTGTGCCACACGCATATATCGCCGTTGTATCATAGTAGGGGCTTCCTATGCCATTGTCGTACACATTAATAGCCGGTGCGAACAAGCAACTGCCGACCTCGCAGGTAGCGAAGGATCGCATCTGCTGTGCGATGTAGCATTTCTCAACGGCTGTTGCAGCATTTTGACGATCATCTCATGTGCATGGCAACTCGTGCCCGGGTACTCGTCCCGTAACAATCCCCCACAAACATCAAAATAGCCACACGCTATGGGTCGAGCACGATGGGAAGAAGTTGTTCTTGGAGAAGATCGAGATCGTAATCAGATCGACGATTGTTGAGTAACGGCGAGTGGGTGACTTTTGCTTTTCGGTCTCAGGAGTTTGGTGTCTAGGCAACGGCCAGCTGCAAGGGTGTAAACTCTCGTAACGTTTGAGTATCAAAGTAAGAGCTGGGGAAATGTTCTCGCCGTACACGAAAGCTGTACTACCTTGATGCCTGCTGTGCTACCATATGACAGTACAATATGTTGCAACAAAGATAACGTTAATGAAGCGGATGAGGTTTGAAACGAGGTGACGGTGAGTCGTATTTAGCCAGCTTGTGTGTGATAGAGGTCCCATTTGAGCCGCATCAATTCGGCACGTTGTGGCGGTGGTTAAGTGTATGATTCGAGTGGGGCCATGAGAGCATTGAAGTCATTTCCTTATCGAAGCGGCATTGGAACACGGACGTGTTGTGCTTGACGTTGCGCCATATCCGTAATGCTCAATAGAGGCATCGGAGATGATGTTGGTAGTGATACGCAATAGCAGTGCGCTACTAAGAACAGATCATAACGGTTCGTGGTATGCTCTGAATCTGCACCTAATAGCTTAGTACGGTACATAACCCGGCGGGATTGATCATCATATAACTGCGAAAACGATACCTGCGTTCGGCGCAAGATAACAAGGCTATGGCGAGCAGTTCCCTTGGGTTGTTTGAACGGAAAAAGGCCCTGTGCGTTTCCCTTCTTGGTGATCAGGCGAAGTGTGCCGACTCCCACGCCTTGGATAATGGAGTGGCGCTTTTTTTCTCTCGAACCGATCGGAACCGGCACATAGCAATCAGAACGAACGCACGCATTTTCGACGTGATGTCATGATATATGGGGAACGGCCTATTTCTCACATGTGCAGCGGGTTGATTCCTTCAACGCCCGATCGACTGGTGCTGTAGCAGCTGTACGCGAGATGATCTACTCGTAGGTAACGGACCAATATTGACTGCACGATGAGGACCGTTCGCTGCCTGCGAACCAACCGAACGTGATGATATGCAGCCTGCGCTCAGAACAGTCAGTCAAGAGCCAGGGTGCGATGGAGCCAAGACGTCCCCTTTCGGGGAAGATGGGCCAGGCGAAAGTTTGAACAGCAAGACGAACCGCACACCAAAGTGCTTTTGATAAGGAACAGGCAAGACGGTAACCGCATGTGGTGCAAATCGGACGATATTGACTCTGCGAAAAAAGTTGGTGGCTCTCGTGCAGCAATCCCTTGCTGAGACTGGCCCGTTCACTGCGTCGCTTGGCGTGAAGTCGGAAAGCACTTGCATGCAGTCGGTGCGCGAAGGCCGAAATTCAGTAGCGCAACGTACCCAGCTATAGTTATATGCATATTGACGTGACGAGGCATCACCTTTGGGAGAGAGCACCGTCACTATCATCCCTATAGCCAGATAGGAGGAAGATGAGCACACATGTCTTTCGCATAATGTTTCGTGGGGGTCAACGCTCGGCTGTGGTGTGTGATAACTAGCCACCGCACGGATACCAGAGTGAAACGGCGTAGTAGGCTCGGGAGAAAGAGGCAGATGCGGCACTGCACGTGTTGTGTTGAAGCTTTTGTGGTCCGCAGCGGACGGGAATCGCAGACAAAGTGCAAAGCGGGTCTTTCAGATTCGCTTTCGTGCTCGCATCAATGTCGGCGTGAAAGGACGCAAGTCACGGTGCTGCTCGCGTAGGCGTATGAAGAAGGAAGAACTAGGCATGGGCACTAGTATGGCGCAAAGTTAAAAGATGGAGAGACAGTGTCAGGGACCCACGGCAGCTTGGGCCAGGAATCTACCTGATCCCACGCAACCGTCGAGCGGAACCGGCAAGTGACAAACCACAGACCGAATTAGTACCAGACGTACGCTAGACGTGACTCTCTTCCATGAATCCTTCACCGAACGATGTTTTTGGACGTTCTCCGTGGGTAATTAAGCGACGGATTGCGGCCCCCGCCTATAGCTGCTGTGTGGGAGATTGGGACTCGATTTGTCGAAGAGTCGCTGAGATGACAGTACAAGTGATGTGAGGGGTCACTGACTGGAGATCATCGTCGTCGTCTCGAGTGTTGGCTAAGAGGGTGCCCAAACATGGGCTTCGGTGGAATATGCCGTCTCGCTCACGGTATTTGGCCGTCGTGGAGTGGAGCGGAAGCCCTTGCCAGGGCGGCGTTGAAGGGTCGCACCAACGCGTGCAATAAGCTTTGAGCGTCATCGTCTAGAAAAGCTCGTAGTTTTGACGAGTCGAGCGGGTGCAGCTGTGCCGTGATGACCCTGTTTCCGGCCCAGGGATGCCACGAGGCCGCTTCCGCAGCCAATGGCGCCCCCCTGCTAGTTCTAAACGTTCGCTTGCATCTGCCTTGTTCCTGGGGCGCTCCTGCCTCCCTCTCCCCGAACTCACTGACACCAACGTCTTCGCCGCGTGCCGGCCAGAGGCGCGCCGCTGCACAACCTCATCTGAACTGCGACCGAGTCCAATGCACTACGCCAGCACGGGGCACATGTTTTCTTCTCAACAACATGCACATCACTGGTGCTCCGTACCTCGCCACCAGGGCCATTATTCAGTCGCCAGCGACCGTTTAGCTGCGTCGCCCTGTTCGCAGCTGGTGGGCCGGCTTTCCTACCGCTTTGGTGCAGTCCACCGGCATTGATAAACCGCCTGGCATATGAGCAGCCGGTCCGCAAGGCGACGATAGATGATGATAGTCGATTAACTGCATCAGGTCCGTTTTCGCTGGCGCTAGACATGTTCACCTGATGCTTCAGTCGCGCGCTGCTACTCGCCTCCACACTATGCTGCAGATCAACATGTTGCAGCCAAAAGGCACCGTCCGTCGCAACCATGCGCTGTGCTCGATGCTAAGGGTGGTGCCGCGCTGTCCATCGTGCAGATCACCCTAGGCATTAATTGCGTGATGATATAGCCTACCCCACGAATCGCCAGACATGCGAGGTTAGGCTCGCGTTTCACCCAACTCCCGCCAATCCCACC